TTTGATCTGATATGATCTGAAATGATTTGATCTGATATGATTTGATCCGATATGATTTGATATGATATGATCTGATTTTGTGCTTCTTCAATGAACTTTCTTTGTACAAACACAAAAACGTTTCAAAGTTTACCACAACAACAAACTTCGTTTGTTTCTACCCGTTCTTAGATTTGCCAGATGTAGACCTTTCTACCTTTGGTCTGAAACGTGCGCTCCATAAATGTATAAATGTGATGTGGAGTTTAAAGCCTACCTTCAGAGTGGGCGAGGACCCGACGTGCGCAGGTGGAGGGTTTCCTTGCCAGCCCTGCAGTCTGTAGATGTGTCCAACACGAGAACATGGAACAAAGAGCAGCTGGCCTCCACACTGCCAGATCTACATGTCCAGGAACAAACACACGTTAACGGTGCAGCGGGCGATGCTCACGTGGACATCAGCCACACATGCTCTGATCAACATCTACCTTGTAGGAGATTTCAAAGTTTTCTCCTCCCCATATCTGTAGTCCAGGATCATAGAGACCCAGCTCAAAGAAGAAGTCTCTCTCTATGGCAAACAGACCTCCTGCCATGGCTGGAGACCTACAGGAGTATAAACGTGCACAAGCAGTCGTGTAAGGAACAATTGGACAGCTGTGCAAGTGGAGCATCACTACAAAGTACCAACCACAGCAGCTTCAGGACGTATTCGGACCTACAGCACATGGCTTCATTACCTCTGAGCGCATCGTGCACACCTGTCAGCTGCGTCAGGTGCACGAGTTAATCTACTGGAACACATCTATAAAGGAGACGGGCAGATTTGGACCCATTGTTTCAGTAGTCTTTATCAGATGTGGTTTTAGAGGCGGCTCCCGTGCAGAAGCTGAAATCTGGTTCTTCTGCCTCTGAGGTGAGTTGGAGATGTTTAGTCGGGTTCCAGATGATGTCCACAACAACTCTGCTGCACATCATGTTGGAACTTGTTCACAAAGAACCAACAGGAACTCAGGAGAAGAAATTAAGCCGTTTCCAGACATTCTGAGGACGCCCTCATGAATGCAGCTTTCTGAGAGGCGTCCAGTTCTGGTGGTTCTTCTGGAACCTAGTCCCATCTCCACAAAGGATCTCAGAAGCTCAGTTAGAATGACCATCAGATTCTTGGTCACCTCTCCCATTCAAGTCTTGGCTGCTCATTGTAGCGGGACAACAGTTCAGGTTGTCCCAAACATTTTCCACTTTAGAATGATGGAGGCTGCTGAGCTCTGAGGAACCTTCAAACCAGCAGAGATGGTTTCTAGCCTTTCTCAGATATGTGCTCTGAGCCCAGTCTTGGAGCTTTGCAGGAAGTTCCTCATGGTTTGACTTCTGCTCAGGGATCATCAGCTAGGAGGCCTTCATCTCAAAACCAAGCACAGGGTCCAAATACTTGCTGAAATGTGATTTTTCTATGTATTTTTGTAGAACTTTGCTTCACTTGGTCTCTGTAGGGTAAATTATTGAGGGAAATGTTGAAACCAATTGTAGCATTAGATCTATTTGCACAGAATCTGCAACAGCATGAAACATCAGGCTGCACAGAAACAAAAAGTGAAGGAGATCCAATACATCCTGAAGCCACTGAATGTCATACAGCTGTGAGGAATCATCCCGACAACCAGAGAGAAGCAGAGAGAGCCAAGGCAGCATGCAGCAGGAACAAGGTTCGAGTGAAGACAAACAGTTAAATTACAACACGTGACACATAAAGTGATTGGGGAAGATGGAAACGATGACGTCACCGTCTAAACCAAACTTGCCCTGAAAATAACCTTCTAGAGCAGAAATAAAACCCAAAACATCTTCAGATTTTAGATAAAAACACAACAAGTTTGTCCGTTAGACATTGTTGTCATGTTGACACTGTCCATTACGTTTCTCTGGATGAAGCGAATACAACTTCAGAGCTTGATCGATATATCAGTAGAGCCGATATTTGAGACCGACATGGCTGTTTGGTGCCTGTTGGTATTGTGGTAACTGGCCCATTATGCGCCGATATAAACATTTCTAATTTTCACCCCTAAAATGATGGAACCAGACGTAATGGCCAAATGTATCCAGCAGAGGGCGCATGGAGACTACTTTCAAGTCATAGCCAATTATTTTTGACAAAAACGAACGTAGATGTTCCTGTTTTTAGTTTTCTACATCGCTTTACAACCTAATTTTTTTTAAATACCATTTTCTTTCATTTGTTCTCAATTTATATGCTTCCTTTTATGATTGTCCACTGATGTCATCACTCTGTGTTAAATCAGGTCTCTCTGTAAATGAGTCCTTGAGGCTCAATGAGACTAACCTGTAGAAATAAAGGTTGAATGAATGAATAACTATGAACTTATTTATCGCCTCATTTATGTAACTAACTCACGTGATGAACTTATTACTGTCTTAGAACAAAAGGCAGCACAGTGGCACTAATTAAATCTGATTAGCTTAGCTTCATGGTTGCTAATAGCGGCGCTAAAAAAACAAGCCCCGCCCCACTCGCTGTTGTCCTAAATTTTTGGAGGCGGACAAAGCTCAAAAATTTTCTGCCATTATATATCGTGACTGGCGGCCGCCCACCCTCCCAGTAGTGGTATCGGCAATAGCCAAAATTTCCATATCGGTCGGGCTCCATACAATATACAATAATATAAGTACAATATATAACAAATAAGTAAAAAAAATGGGTTCACACTTTACTTGTAAATCATATTAGATAATCTAAAACAAACGAGGCCGACACAATGAATATCCAAAAGTTCAAATGTACTAACACACAGGATGCTGGTGACGATTCTCAGACATCCAGGACATGATAAATTCAAAAAACGTTCAATACAAAAACAACTGGACTTTTTTTGTAACAGAAGACGTTTCGCTCCTCATCCTTTCTCAATTGCTCTCTCTGCTCTTTGAATAGAGAAAGCTCCTCGAATGAGGAGCGAAACGTCTTCTGTTACAAAAAAAGTCCAGTTGTTTTTGTATTGAACGTTTTTTGAACACACAGGACAACAGTTAATAACTGAAAATGGTGTGTTTAGTTGGTTAGTTATATATTTAGTACATTAGATGCTCTTCTAACATATTTAGCAGAACCTGAAAACAGCACTAGTGTCAACATAACAGTAGAAAGATGTCCAGTTGGTCAAACGTGTGGACAATGTCAGCATTAATCAGGACACACTGGTTTTCTGTACCTATATGGCTCAGTTTCACTTTTTCTGAGTTTTTTTTCCCTGTCTCCCAGAGGAACTCTCTTCCAGAGCATGCTCCAATCCCAGGCTCCTCTAGCAAAACCGTTTTCGTCTCCTCCACCTTGGGGCTCGATGTCGAACCTCTGTCCATGGATGGAGTCGATCAAAGGCACCGTACAGACGGTTCTGACAGAATGAACGTGGGGACATGCACACACAGTACACGGGGAAAGAGTTGTAGGGATGGTGCACGTGAGAGAAATCACAGACAGCAAACATCACAGAGACAGGGGATGTTGTAAACCATGACAGTGAAGGATAGAACGAGTGGGATGAAGGGATGGAAGATGGAGACAGAAAAAAAATGGGATGAGTTATAACGTATACATATACCGGTAAGGCTCGGTGATATATTTTCTCTTGGCCTTCTCTCTCTGGCTAAGTGGTACTCTCTTCCACAGCAGGCTCCAGTCCCATGCTCCTCTAGCCAGGCCGTCTTCATCACCCCCCTGCTGTGGCTCCATACTGTACCCATTACCATCTATATAATCTATGAGTGGTACTGTGCATACTGTCCTACATAGACACAAACAAACCTTTGTCATGTTGCATTGCTATCAATTCATATACATCACACTCCCTCTATGAACTTCATGCTAGAACATATACTTCTCTTAAAGCATAACTGTAAAGACTTATTTTTATCTAGATCTAATCTAAACTTTACCCTGAACCATTGCAGGGCACCTGTAAAATATTAGGGTTGGCAATGGGCTAAATATTGTTTTCATAGCAGCCATCAGTTCAGCAATGGTTAACAATGGTGTCCTCAAGCATACTTTACTTATTTAGTAGGGTTGGACCAGACTATCCCTGTTCTCTGTACAACTGTGGATGTAGGACAAAGTAAAAAATTAGAACTGCTTCACCGAGGAGGAGGTGGTAAAGAGAAAACGTGTCACTACCAACAATTACTGTCCGTTCAGTGAGCCACCTTGACCTCTTCTGTGCAGGTGTAACCATAAAACAGCACCAGTGAAGAACACGGAGGTTGCAACCGCTCAGGCTTTGCCTTTGACGGCGCCTACATGGTGCACAGTCAGACACCAGGCAGCTCTGAAAACTGCCACAGCAGCTTTTACTGTGTAGCTGTTATCTCAACGAACTGACTGGTGAGAGACTACATGCTGGAAGAAACCCTTCAAAATTACTGATACATTTTCTGCTACAGTCCCAACAAATTTTACAACCAAGAGTTCACTGAGCCATGTGGCTGTGTTCTGAGGAACTTGTCTCATTTCTCAGGTTTATGACTGAACCTGTTCAAGAACACTTTTAAATGACGATGCGCAGATGTGGACTGGTTCTTATCGTCAGCGTGGTGTTTAGAGCTGGACGCTTGCTCCACATGTTTTCTGTCAGAGAAGTCTAAATGTCGTGTTAGTTCTCTGGAGAAGCTTGCAGCAATATTCAGACGAGTTCTACACGAGCTGGAGACACCGTCCATTGTTTCAGGAGATTTGCTTTGAGCCCAGTGAGACGGGACGTCCGGTCTCATTAGAATCCAAACAAGACGCTTGGTTTCACACGTCAGAGAGTTGGTGTTCAACAGCTGGACGCGGTGAAGCCACATGTTGATGATGAACTTGATTCATGAGGAAAAGTCTCCGTGTTCCAGTCTGCTACTTACAAAACCTGTTTTATTGTTTCTTGTTTGTGAAATGATTTATGAATTAGGTGATTGTAAGGTGCATCTGAACCACAGGGTGACAAAGAACTTTTTAAATGTCCTGTGTATTTTTATTTATTAACAGTAACATTTAACGACTTGCTTATCTTCAACTCATACCAGAGTCCATATTTTAAATGCCAGACCATTAAGATGTCATTTGAGACCACAGGGGGACGATTATTCTGGTTGGTTTTTTACACAGCTGCCACAGACTCAAGTCATTTTCTAACAACAAACATTTTTCTAAATATATGTTTTAATATTTGTATTTCTAAATATTTTAGAAAATAAAAATAAATACACAAAAAAATCAAAAAGGATTTTAAATTATTTTGGAAAAGATGAATATTTGTCTCAAATTATTTTTCTTTGAATCTTCTCGTTTTACATTATGATGAGTTATTGTTGCCAGTTTAAACCCATAAATGAGGCAGAATAATCAGCAGAATAATCAGCAGAATAATCAGCAGCATCGTCAGTGTACCGTATGACCCGAAACCAACAGGGCAGAAAATAAATGAGGATTGTATTACAGCGTGATTGGGTTTATTTTCCTGTTCTACAATCATTCTAGAACCACTAGGCTGAGGAACAGCTTCTACCCTGAAGCTGCTGGACTCATGAATCTCTCGTCAGGATAATCACTGTGAAAAAAATCACTGTGATGCCAACTGATTGTTGATATGTGCTGCTGACTATCCATGCTGCTGATCTCATGCTGCTGATTATTTCATGTTTCTTGTTCATTGGTCCTCGTCTGCTCACACAGACTCATGTTCGTGCTGCTGTTGTTTTGGTGATTGTTTTTGTACCATCAGTGCTCAGTGTATTCTGAGCTTAGTGAATGTACTATATTCTTAGTTCATATCTTAGATCTTATTACTGGTTTTCTTTACAATTAGTATTATTGTTGGATGTAACTGGGACCCTGTGTACATAGTGTTGTCCCACCTCATGTACCACCTGTGGTGTGTAGGACAATAAAGAACCTTAAAACACTTAAAAGGGAAATTTAAATTATTATTTTAGAATTAATTCAAATAAACTGAATTGCAGCCGGTTGATGCATTTCTGTAAATGTCCAGTCCAACTTATGTTAAGAATCTTCTACACGTTACAGAAACTGGAGGGGCAGTAAAACAACTCCAGACTGATGTTCTTTATGAACCTACAATGTTTGGCAGATCCTACTCAGCTGCTCTGACCTGTTGAACCATCTGCTGGTTACAGCTCTCAGTTCAAACATTGACCATGGTCTCCAACAAGCTCATGGCTTCACATGGAGGACGTTCAGTGAGCAGACCTACCTGCCGACTGACACACAAGCCCCATACCGAGAGGCGTGATTCAGTCACGAGCCAGCTGCCAATCACAAGACTCCCCAGGTGAAGCTCAAACTTCATACCCTCACCTGTCGTTCTACAAAGACACTTTGGTCATTTGCTAAGTGACGTTCTGTCAAAGAGTTATCAGTAGTTAGTAACACATACAGTTCTCCACCTTGACCTCTCCAAGTGACTTAAAAACTCTGCTCAGTTCCTGGAAACAACCAACGCAGACATGCTGCTGTTTTTACTTTTCTACATCGCCTTATAATCTAATGTTTTTTGTTACTTTCCTCTTGATTGTCCTTTCAGTTGATATTTTGTTTTGATTTGTAAAAAAAAAAAGAGAAACTTAAATTTGTATGCCTATTTTATAATTGTCTATTGTTGTCTTTGTTGTCCACTGTTGTCATCACTCTTTGTTAAATCAGGTCTCTCTTGTAAATGAGTCCCTGACGCTCAGTGGGACTCACCTGTAGAAATAAAGCTTGAATGAAAATCTGCCATGACATCACTCAAAGCATGGAGGATGCAGGAGTAATTAAAAGTCTAGTAAAACGTGCACACACACAACAGGACACACGTGTGTGTGCTGAATGTGTCGGGAGCTGAAAACATTTGGACTGACTAGACTGATACATTCACCAACCTGAGCATCATCAGCGTATAATGTCGTATGTTCCAACAGGAACATACGACATTGTCTGGTTAACAAAACGACAACAAACAAACTGTCATGCAGAAGTGACGTGGTTTAATTTTAGCCAACGTAGCATTGTTTCACACTGATGTGTTGTTTTTGACAGTTGTATTATAAGCCTGAAAAATGATATAATCATGTAATAAAATTGCTAATATCCGGTTGACAGGACATCACTTTAAAAATGACAATATTTGATTAAACTCTGATTAAACCAGTCAAGTCACCATTGTGATGTGATCCTTGCTCATAAAATACAGGTCCTTCTCAAAAAATGAGCATATTGTGATAAAGGTCATTATTTTCCATAATGTAATGATAAAAATGAAACTTTCATATATTTCAGATTCATTGCACACCAACTGAAATATTTCAGGTCTTTAATTGTTTTAATCCTGATGATTATGGCATACAGCTCATGAAAACCCAAAATGCCTGTCCCAAAAAATGAGCATATCATGAAAAGGTTCTCTAAACAAGCTATTAACCTAACCATCTGAATCAACGACGTAACTCTAAACACCTGCAAAAGATTCCTGAGGCTTTTAAAAACTCCCAGCCTTGTTCATTACTCAAAACCGCAATCATGGGTAAGACTGCCGACCTGACTGCTGTCCAGAAGGCCATCATTGACACCCTCAAGCAAGAGGGTAAGACACAGAAAGAAATTGCTGAATGAATAGGCTGTTCCCAGAGTGCTGTATCAAGGCACCTCAGTGGGAAGTCTGTGGGAAGGGAAAAGTGTGGCAGAAAACGCTGCACAACGAGAAGAGGTGACCGGACCCTGAGGAGGATTGTGGAGAAGGGCCGATTCCAGACATTGGGGGACCTGCGGAAGCAGTGGACTGAGTCTGGAGTAGAAACATCCAGAGCCACCGTGCACAGGCGTGTGGAGGAAATGGGCTACAGGTGCCACATTCCCCAGGTCAAGCCACTTTTGAACAAGAGACTGCGTCAGAAGCATCTCGCCTGGGACTGCTGCTGAGTGGTCCAAAGTCATGTTCTCTGATTACAGTAAATTTTGCATTTCCTTTGGAAATCAAGGTCCCAGAGTCTGGAGGAAGAGAGGAGACACAGAATTCACATTGCTTGAGGTCCAGTGTCAAGTTTCCACAGTCACTGGGGTGTCATGTCATCTGCTGGTGTTGGTCCACTGTGTTTTATCAAGGGCAGGGTCAATGCAGCAGCTATCAGGAGATTTTGGAGCACTTCATGCTTCCATCTGCTGAAAAGCTTTATGGAGATGAAGATTTCATTTTTCAGCACGACCTGGCACCTGCTCACAGTGCCAAAACCACTGGTAAATGGTTTACTGACCATGGTATTACTGTGCTCAATTGTCCTGCCAACTCTCCTGACCTGAACCCCATAGAGAACCTGTGGGATATTGTGAAGAGAAAGTTGAGAGAACAAGACCCAACACTCTGGATGAGCTTAAGGCCGCTATCGAAGCATCCTGGGCCTCCATAACACCTCAGCAGTGCCACAGGCTGATTGCCTCCATGCCACGCCGCATTGAAGCAGTCATTCATGCAAAAGGATTCCCGACCAAGTATTGAGTGCAGAACTGAACATGATTATTTGAAGGTTGGTGTTTTTGTATTAAAAACACTTGTCTTTCATTGGTGGGATGAAATATGCTCATTTTTTGGGACAAGCATTTTGGGTTTTCATGAGCTGTATGCCATAATCATCAGTATTAAAACAATTAAAGACCTGAAATATTTCAGTTGGTGTGCAATGAATCTGAAATATATGAAAGTTTCATTTTTATCATTACATTATGGAAAATAATGACCTTTATCACAATATGCTAATTTTTTGAGAAGGACCTGCACAGTAAAAGGCACTAACTAAATAAGGAATATTAGAACCACATATGTTGTTGAATTACTCTTAAAACCAGTCCATCACACAAACTGGCCCGTGGACTCTACACCAGAAAACATATTGTAAAAGCACAAGTTAAATTTAGTCAACATTTATACTCCGTCTACCTCTCAAAATGAAACAAGATGTTTAATTAAGTTTATAAATACAATGACTGCAGGATACATTTTAAAACCAGATTCATATGGGAGCAAATCTTACCTATCTTTTGAAATTGGTGCAACCAATGGAGCGTACCAGTTGATTCCAACCTCACAATGAGCATCCAGGTAGATCAGAACCTACAATATGAAAAGACAAACTTGTGGATGTCTGAGTCATGGACATTTCAAGGAAAAACATTTCAAATTTTTAGTAACCAGTCAAATTTTTTTTTTTTTTTTTTCATTTAGCCTTTATTTATCCAGGTTAGTCTCATTGAGCCACGAGAACTCATTTTCAAGAGAGACCTGTTTAGGGAGCACATGGTGGGGGTTAAGGGCCTTGCTCATGGGCCCAGAGTGGGGCGAATGAGGGTGGGGGCAAGTGTGGGTGTTTCATCTACCCCACCCACAATTTTGATGTTGTCGGGGCCGGGGCGTGAACCGGCGATCTTCGGATCACAAGCCCACCTCTCTAACCTCTGCGCCACCACTCCCCCCAAATATTATGCAAGTACTTCTCCCACATGACAGCACATGATGGAGCCACTGCACAGACCTGGAAAACCGGTAACAAGTCATGATGATACACTACAGACATCTGGCAGAGGACCCCATTTATTCAATTCAAAATACTTTATTAATCCCAAAGGGAAATTATATGTTGACTTGACTTGACTTTTAGGAATGTACCAAGTTTGCAGAGAACATTGTGTTTTCTCTGTGTGAATGTGTAGCTATTTTTTGTGTATTTGAATTTCCCACTGGGGATGGATAAAGTGAATTTCATTAACAAGAGATCTTACCTGTCCTTTGGTGGCCTTTTTAGCTCCAATACTCCTTGCCTGGATCAGCCCTTCTCGTTTTTCATTCCTGAAGAGTTTTACGAGACCATTCCATTGCTTGATGTACTCTTCCAAGCGCTCCTTCAGATGCACTACAAACACACAGCAAACCCTGTGTTTGTTAGACGTGCTCATTTTTATTCAAGTATGGAAAAACAGCATTTTTGGTTCATGTACTTGTTGACACAGATGAAATGAGATCAATTTGAACAGGGAAAAAAAAAACCACAATTACACCTCCATACAAAAAATGTAAACCAAGCCCGTCGGACAAAATCTGACCAAACCAACGTCAGAAAAGAGAAAAAAACCTTATAACTTATTCACATACCCAGCCGGTCAGGGGACACTGCAGAAACGTTATAAAAGTCCATAAAAGTTATGAACAGAATCGGTGACAGGGCAACCTTGGCAGAGTCCAACTCTCACCAGGAACGAGCCCGACTTGTTGCCGGCAAAGTGAACCAAGCTCCGACACCGGTCATACAATTCAGTTCAATCCAGTTTACTTCTTCAGCTCCAAGTCACAACTGAATCGTCTCAGGGACTGAACAAAAACTAACATTTTCTAAAAAATAAAACAATAGTAATAATGATAATAATGAGCATGCTAATAGTAATGAATAATAGTAATAATGTGTATGTGTTGTCATCAATGCATGTTTCCATACAATGGCAAAAGTGTCTCTCTGATTTAACCCGTCCACCACCAGGTGGTGCAGTGGGCAGCTATTGACACCACGACATGTGCAATGACTGGGGATTGAACCTGGGACTTTCGGTCCCGAGTCGGCTGCCCTGCCTCTACACCATCTTGGCTCCAAAGAGAGAGAGAGAGAAGAAGAAGAAAGCCCCGTCACAAAGTTATTTCTGTCTCCCTAAATAATAAAAAAAAGTAAATATTTTATTATAAAATATAAAAAAAACAATATAATACTATTAGACTTTTTTCTTAAAGGAAATGAAACCCACCTTTGTTGCTGAAGTCATCTATCAAGACAATCTCAGCCAAGAATTGTCTGGGCGTCCTCTTGATGACGCTGTGCACGGTCCTCATGAGCGTAGACCAACCCTCGTTATGGAAAACTATAATCACACTGGACGTCAGCAGCCGATCGTCATAATTCCAAAACTTACACCTGCAGAAAAGGTCAAGATCACATGGCCAGCAGTCATTGTGGGCTTGAGTAGACTACAACAAATATCACCACCTTTCAGCAGAAACTAGTTGATGTTCATGAACCAGTACGGAAACAGCACTTCTGTATAAACTTAATGTACGTAGTCCTCTTAAAGACATTTTTCATCAACTGGTATATGAACAGGGCAGCACAGTGGCACAACTGGTAGAGCTGCTGCCTCTCAGTGAGAAGGTTGCTGGCTCAAACCCCGGTCCAGGGTTATGGGTGGAGTTTGCATGTTCTCTCCGTGCATGCGTGGGTTTTCTCCGGGTACTCCGGTTTCCTCCCACAGACCAAAAACATGCATGTTAGGCTGATTGGTAACTCTAAATTGTCCCTAGGTGTGAGTGAGAGAGTGAATGGTTGTTTGTCTCGTTTGTCTCTATGTGTCCCTGTGATGGACTGGAGACCTGTCCAGGGTGTCCCCCGCCCCTCGCACAGTGATTGCTGGACATGGGCACCAGCGACCCCCGTGACCCAAAATGGAAGAAGCGGGTAAAAGATGATGGATGGATGGATGGATGAACAGACGGACGGATGGATGGATGGATGGATGAACGGACGGATGGGTAAGGAGGACCCTCTTACCTCGACGGAAACAAATTGGATTCATGATGACAAGTTTTTTTTGCCGTTTGGCTGGTGAATTCTGGATTATCTATAAATTTGTGTGGATGTAGGGGTGGGTGATATGGCTCAAATATAATATCGTGATATTTCAGAGCATTCTGGCAATAACAATAAATTTTGCGATATAACCAAAAAAAAAAAACCAGAAATCATAGTTATTAATTTGACAAAATTAACTTAACGTTATGTTGCTTTGCAGTATTATAAAGACAAAAAAAAAAAAAAAAACAAGGGCTAATTTTACTGAAATTACTTTATTTAGTAAAGTATTCAGTCTCCAAG